CACAGTATCACTTAGAACAATTTCAGTAAAAGCGTGTTAGGGTTTGATCTGAGAAACCCTCTGATGGAGTAGAATCATTCATGGATGCAATAGGTTATTGACAGAGATGACACAGCACACCATGGGAGAGGTGACGGGGAATTTCCTGCAAGGCTTTGAACTTGCTGTTGCACAAATGCCACTGGAGAACAGCTGTGATAGCACTTAGGAAAGAAAACTGGATACAAAGCAAGAGAGACTGTGATAACCAACCTGACTCCATCTTGAGCCTTGCCACCACTGTGTGCTTGTGCTTGGACAAAGCACCCCAAACACACATCCTGTTTGGCAGAACACTTGCTGCAGTTGCAAGTTGTGTTTTGTAGCTCACCCAGTGTGTGAAACTTCCTCTTCCCCCCACCAACCTGGCATGGCTCTGCTTCTGTAAGATTCCACTTGCTCTCCCCTTGAGCCCTCCCCAACTGAAGGAATGGTTTAAAAGGAGAAATTAAACCTCTTCTCAGGCCAAGAGATCTTTATAGGCACTAGCCCCCTCTTGGACACTGTCTTTAAATAGACGGACTCAAATCTGACTCAGAGTGTGGTGCATCTCTATAGTTCCGACTTGCTCAGGTAGAACAAGACCACTCACAGACTGGCACCGTGGCTGTCTGGGTTACTCTTACCTTGATGATGTGGGGGCCATGCAGAAGCTGACACTTCAGTCACACTTGGGCTCATAGGATGAAGAAGCAGATCTGGTGGCAGGGGAGAAGCTACCAGGCTGGGTGCTGCCCCTGAGAATGGGGGCCCAGTAGGTCAGCAGCAATGGACACAGGAAGTGATGGTGCCACACAGCACAGTCAGAGCAGCAAGGCAGCTACTCATTTTCACTCCCCAAGTTCTGTACAAATACATCTGTGACCAACTCCAATCCAGAGTCATACAGGAAAGAGTCCTCTGGGAAACACAGTTCCAGCTGACAAAATGCAAAGCTACTGCAGTCCACCCATTGCCAACATGGCTTCTGTGTGCTTTTCTCTTCACCAGATGTAACTTCCAAATAAAGACAATGACAAAATCTTGTTTCAATCTCATTAAATTAAAACATGTTACTTATTTCCACAAAAGAACATACAAAGTCATTTCATCCATATTCAGCAGGTTCTTTCTTCTTCTAAGTCATACTCCCTTTTTGATTGCAATTTAAATAAATACTGAGCTTAAATAAAGTTAACTACTGTTAAAACATCTTCTGTTAGAGGAATCAGAAAGGGAAAGGCAAAATTGGCTAATCTTGGCAACTTGTCACATGACTGAACTTCTATCACCCAGCCTACATTCCTTTACCCGCCTTCCCAAGTTCCTTGGCTGGTGGCATCTCTTAGCCCGTAGGGTAGACACTATCTTCATTACTGGAGCCTGGTCATTACCGTCCCTGCTTGTATGCAGTAATAGTTTTCCACTGACTTTTGTCACACAGAAGTCTAGTTGGGAAATTTACTGCACAGATTTTTGGCAGTGCCACAGGCTGCTTCTCCTGGGGGACTGTGGGGGACTCTTCTAGGGCTCTGGGTCTGTCTCTGGCTCAAGCCTGGGCTTGGTAGGCTGTAACTCCATTGACATGACTCAGTGAGACTTCTGGTCACCAGCCCTAGAGCACTTCCATTTCCACAAAGTAGCTCAACCGTCTAATGCAGTGTGAAGGACACCATGTCCATTAGCCAAAGTCAAAAGCACCTTGCTTTTTGCATTCATGCAGACTAGAATGATGACAATCCCCACGTATGCCTCTTTTCATATTTTTGTGCAAGTATAGAATACGCTTAAATAGGAAAACACAGAGTATTTTCTCTTAGGGACTTCTGGTCACCAATTGTTTGTGTATCCTTTTGTTCATGCATCTCAAAGATTATTCTTCTGGGACTCTGAGTAATAATGAAAATAACCATAATATTCATTGCTATGTTTTGCACTTACTATTTGCTGAACTCTCTCCTTAAAGTATCTCATTTAATTCTTATAACTATGCAGCGTTTTACTGATACAGGAAGACTCAAACCTTCAGGAGCCTGTAGAGGGTGAGAACTGTGGTAGAAAGCATGCAAGGGCTTCCAGTGAGATCTCACATCTAAGGAGTGGCAGGGCCAGATTTTGAACTTTCCCCCTCCATGAGCCACTTCCCCCTACATTGTGGGCCAGAAAAGAAGATAAATAACTCATAACATCGTTATGAGTTTAGCAGATTGTACTTGGGGACCAAAGAAATGAGCAAGGGGAATCTTAAGAACACATGGACCAGATTGTTCAGCCGACTAATTGTCCAGTGTTGTGATTTGTGCAGAAATGGGCAGTTTTTTGGAATAAGGGACAATTGTAACATGGTAGAATTGAAACAGTGCAGCAGCTGACTATTTGTGTAATTTTAGCTCATCAATAAACTCCATTTCTTTGTCTACAGCCTAGGAGGAAGACTACAATATGCCTTTGCAAGCATGCTGAAGGGATCAGCAGTATGTAGAGCGCCTGATGCACTGTGAAGTGCTTCATTGATGTCATGAGCACTACTGAGCGCTGCAGATCACACCAGATCACACTGGCAGTGATTGTGTGAACATAAATGTAGTCCTGGCTGAGGGCATGCTTGTTTTCACTGCTGAAGAGATGACCTGTGCCCCGAGCACTGCTGGACTCTCAAGTGTAGCCCGGGTTTGAGCAGTAATTTATATGGAAACTGAAGGGTCAGAGGCAGGGAAACCGGCTGGCCACCAGACGCAGTGGCCAGCATGGAGCACGGTTTCTAGTCCCTGTTCCCCTCCCCTCTAGACAGAATAAGCCAGAGTAAACCAGGCCAAGGAGGTGGATTCGGGAGCCATGTAAGGCCGAAGAAGGAGTGTGTGGACTGTCACTTGGCTTCTCACCATGAGGCGGCAAACCAGACTGACGGCATCACAGAGCAGCAAAGGCTGCGCCGCGCTAACCACACAGCAGGCACAGCTCAGCGCTCAGTGTTTCCCACACCCCCATAAGTCAGGTAAGCGAGACAGCTGCATTTCACAGGCAGGAAACTGAGGTGCCGAGTGTCAAGCACAGCTCTGGGTTGGGGGTTGTCTGGTCCCCCAGGTGGACACGTCAGAGGCTTGGTACCAGGGTGGCAGCAGCAGAAGCTGCCGGAGCTGTTGTGAGGTCACTGACCACTGCTGTAGAAGCGCGCGCAGCCTCCTGGCTGAGTCCTCGCTGGCGTGAGTTGTCATGGAGCCAGTCCTCCCTTCCTGTGCAGCCTCGTGATCACCGGCCCCACTCACACTGACCTTGCCCTCCGCTAGGATGCAACCCAGCCAGGAACGTCCTCACTGGGACCTCTAAAACTGAGAGCCAAACAAACCCTTCTTCTTCATAATGTTCTGCACCCGGTATTTCATCACAGGCATGCGAACTGATCACATAAGTCCTTTCTCCAAAGTCACATGGCTGGTGTGTGGCTGACCCCAAGCCAGCAGCCTCAGCGTCACGCGTGCAGTCCAGCTACTCTTGTCCCCCTGCACCCCGAGTAGATCCAGAGCAGCTCTGCAGGCAGCGCCATCACCATGGAAACTAGGCACGGGCTGAACCTCAGCTTTTGGACTTGGTCCCTGAGACTAAGACCTCTCCGACTTCAGACCGCAGCCTGCGTTTTATCCCCAGCCTCCTGAGGGGTCAGCTACAGTCAGGGTCCCATGGCCCCTCCTCAGGGACAGTGAATTGGAGGGAGGTGCCCAGGACCCAGGACAGCGCCCGCCTGCCCCTAGTGTCTATCTCTGAGGTCCAGCACCTCGCAGAGAGCCCCCAGCCCCTCCCCACATTCACTGTCCTGTAAGCCCGCATGCCAGCATTCTGGGGCTCTCTGGGGTTCCTAGTGGATAGAACAACCCTCGGCAATTGGTGGTTAGACTCATACTCCAGCCCCCTCCCCTCCTCGAGCTCAGGACGAAGATGAGCTGAATGTTCTCCACAGGCCTGGGCTGGGTCCCTGGCAACCAGCCCCTCCCTAAGCTGTCTGGGACCCACCGAGAATCCTCCCATTGGCACAGACTCACATGGTTGAAAGAGGTTTGTTGTGAATACTACAAGATGCTCGCACCACCCTATCACTGTGGAAATCCCAGAGCTCCTAAGAACCCTGTGCCAGGAACTAGAGACAAAGATCAAATATACTTCTTTATTTATATCAGTATCTTTTGAACAGGGATCCTTGGGTGAGATAGATGGTAGAGAGATGAGAAAAGTGGCTCAGTCCACTTAAATTTAGATCCTGAAGCCAGTTGTGATTTTGCCTGCCTATAACCCAAGCACTCTGGAGGCTGAGATAGGAGGATTTCCAGTTCAAGGTCAGCCTGTGCTATGTCATGAAATCCTGTCTCAAAAAACAAACCTGACATGCAGACCCTGAGAGTCAGGACATTTGGGGAATCTGGGAACACAGGCCATGGGCACCCCTGGGTCCTGGTGCTGTTCAGCATCAGCCATCGACATCAGGCAACACTGTGCGTTTCCAGCCTGGCCCACTTTCTGAGCAACAGGGGAGAAAGAGGCTTGGAAACAGTTATTTGCACACCCAGAAAGTCCAAAACTTCCCTGGGCAAGATCTCTGGAAGGAAAAGCATGAAAGATAGACTGGAGAGGCTGGGTTAAGATAGGTCCAGGGACCGGGAATTCCAGGCTGCCTGGGCTCTGGCAATAGTCTCGGCCACATCCAAACTTGGGTCAGGTTTGCACAGGGCTTTCTTCTCACCTGATTATCCACGCGTGCAGAGGAACAAACACCACGGGCTCCCTGGGGCGGCTGCGGGGGAACCCGCCCCGGCCCATCTCAGACGCTGCCTGGGGTAGGCGCAGCCTCCTCTCCTGCAGGGGGCCGATGCTGGCAGCCCCAGCCCGGAGGGCCTCAGCTCCTCCCTCCCTGGCTTAGAGGAGGCTGTGCAGAAATGGGAGCAGATCTCTGAGAAATAATCTGTGTGGAAATGAGGGCAGGACCTCGAGCTCGGCCTGGACGTGAGAGGCCATGTCCTCAAGTCACTCTGCACACCATGTCCCTCCCGGTCTGAGTGGGTGAGAGGAAGACGCACCTTCTCCTGACCTCGTCTCCACCCATCCTGGGGAGGACAGCGAGCCCAGGGGGCTCTTGGTTGTGACTCTGCAACAGAAGAGCTCAGGGACTGAACGCCTGGGAGAGGTGGCCCAGCTATCCAGCAAATCCTCTGTCATCCTGGGGTCCATGCAGCACCCGCAAGCCTACCATGCAAAGCCCGGCAGGACATCCTGTTTCCACGCCTCTGTCACCACGAGGTGAGTGTTGGGCCCATCTTTCAGCAGATCTAACAGGAAGCAGACCGACCCCTGAGCCCCTGAGCCAGGTGGGCGGTGTCTAGAGCAGGTGTCTATACTCCCTTCACTGCCTTGGGGAGATGTCCTGCCTGGGGGACACAACTGAGCACTGTCCTGCTCCTGCAGAGCCTGGCCTGGCCCTCTCTTCCCCACTCTGGGCGGCACCCTGAGTCCTTACCTTGGCCAAGGCTGCAGGGCCACACAGCCATGGTGCCCACGTGGGCCCGGGAGGGCAGAGCCTGACACCCTGCCTTTCCTGGCTCCTCTGCCTCCCCCGCTGAGAGCTTCTGGGGGGCATCTGCCTCCCCTGCGCGCCTGCTACACAGCTCCTCCCAGGAGGAGACATTTCCACCACCAGCCCGCTGATCAGGGCCCCCCCCGGGGGGGGCAGGCCCTGAGTGTCCCCAGCCCCCAGCCGCATTTGGCCCTGGGCATTTTCTTCCCCAGAGCAGCTCCCAGCCTCATTCCCCTTAAAGGCTGCGGCCCTGCCTGCAGGAGCAATTTGGGAAAGTCCACATCTAGGGAAAGGGAAACCAAGCCACGGTCACTCACAGATGACATGGTGAGCTGATCAGGAGCGTTCTTGGGGGCTCGGAGGGGGCCAGGAGGATGGGCACCTCAGTCTAGGTACAAATCCCGGTACCTTAGCAGTATTACCTGGCCAGCAGGGCAGCACGTCATGGAGGAGCAGCTCCTGCTCTGCAGGAAGCCGGCAGGGTAAGGATGGGGACAGCTGGAGTGAGTCCCCCCTTTATCATCCCCAAAGAGCCAGCCACAGGGTCCTCACTATGATTACGATGCCTCCCGATTTTCAAACATTTCTATAAATGCTTACATTTCTTAGTCATCCAAAGCTAGGATGTACGCATCAGGGCCAGGGCTGGCAAAGTATGACCTGCAGGTCAAACCAGCCCCTCCCCCTAACACAGGGGAACAGGGCAAAGGGCTGTACACCCAGTACAGTGATGTCATCATCTCTGTGCCAATTAGAAAAGTGCTCTTTTGGACCAATCAGAGACTTGCTATTTTCAATCCTTCATTTGCATGTGGCACAACCAATCAAAAGACACAGCTCCTGATCCTTTGCTTGCATATAGCTGCTTGATAGGACAGTTTGTACCTGGGATGATGCCAGGTGAGCTCTGATAGGACTCTGCCCCAGTGCTTTATTTGCATGAGAGGGAGATAACTGGGAATTTTGGCTAGGACAGACTCCCCTTATCCTCAGGCTGTGAGCCTTTTTACCAACCGCTCTCACTGTGGAGCCTACCTCTTCCGCCTTCAATAAACGTGCACCTTCGTTGTCTCTTCTGAGTGTCTGTCACAATTCTTTGTTTGGGACACCAAGGACCTGGATGCCTCATCCTGTAACACATCTGTGCCATGAACAGAGCCTCCCGTGGGTCTCTGGATGGTCCGTGGGGCCTTGCATGGCCAGGTGGGTGTTGGGAAAGCTGAAGAGCTGAGGAGGCCGGAAACGCTTCCTCCATGGGCCTCATAGACCAGGTTTCCCCTCAACTGCCCTAGAGCCCCAAGAAGTAAAGGCGAACCCACAATCTCACCAGTCCAGCGCCATCCATCCTCCCTCCGCTCCCATGGAGGACACGTCTTAGAAACAGGCCGGTGCTCCCAGGCTCTGGCTCCGGGGTGGAGCCCGAGAACATCAATCCACTCTGTGCTGCTCCAGGGGAGACTGCAATGGAGGAAGAACAGGGCTGGGGTGGAAGTGTCCAGGCAGCATGGAGGGAACACTGGGGAGGGAGCGGGGTGGGGGGGGTTGAGGAGAGGAAGCCCAGGACCTGGGCCTCGGTGCTGTGAGGTGGGTGACCCCAGTCACCAGCTCGGAGGCCCCTGCCCCACTGTGCAGCTTGGACGGGACTCTCACAAGGGCCTCCCTGTGGCACAGTGACCTCTCTGTAGACAGGAGACATCAGCAGGCGCCTTGTGAAGGTCCCAGGGCGGACGGCTTCCTTTGCTTCCTGAGCGTGTACACAAGTGATGTCTCATCACCAGCTTAATCTCATTTATTTCTTTCTCTGCCACCAGATGGAACGCTGCTCAGCCATTTCAGAGGAGCTTGTGCTTGCTGCTTCCTGCTCCGTTTAGCATTGAGTGCTTCCAAATTAGGAGCAGGAGTCTTGGGAGAGGGAAATGGCTCTGAGTCTGCTGAGGATGTCGGAGGACAGCTTCAACAACTTCAATAATAGCTTCGGAGCAGAGGCCTGTATGGTCTGGAAACGATGACAAGTGAAAGCTAAAGACTTTCACTGCCTCAGAGAACAGGGGAAGATGGACCCTAAGTACACAGGACAAGAGATAGGAAGCCTACTCTCGTGTGGCTGCCTTTATTCCTCACACAAATGAAACATCCAGCGAGCACGCAGACGTCTGCTCTCTGCTCCAGGATTTAGATGTCCCGCATCTCAGTCTGTGTGGAACATACCTCTGTCATTCTGAGGAAGCAGTGGTCATATTGACAATATTCACCCTAAATCTGTCTGAATTCTTTTTTTTTTAAAGTTAAACTTAATTTAGTGTATTGTTTGCTTTTTAAAAATAACTAAAATAGATTCACACTTTATCTAACATCAGTCATTCTTAACACAAATGAGCCTGACTGGGGCATACTTTTCTTTATGCCACTTCAACAGACCCTAAGTTCCATCTGTGGTTATCACTCTAAGTAAATAAAAATATTTAGAATGCATTTTGGTGTCCAGTTATTTGAAATCAAGTTTCCATTTTGAATAGTTTCATTAAAGTTTATGCCATGGTAGAATGACCCTTTATCTGCTTTAACTTAGTCTGTATTAAATTGATAAAATACACCCTTACTCCTGTGCAAACATCCAGCAATGTAGTTACATCATTATTTGAAATGCTTACACGGGAATGTTCTTAATACGTATGTAAAAATGATCAAGGCATTCTTCTGCTCTCTAAAATCTGGGAGGCAATTGTATGTGATAGGACTGACTTTTTGGTCCACATTTAAAAAAAATGTCTCCGATCCAGCTTATTAAGAACACAAAGATCTTCCTAGTTATAGGCTGGCAGGAACATTTTTAAACTTTCAGGGGGCCTGAGTCGGTTTCTGCTTGGGAATCCTGCACACAAACCTTGTCATTCTGAGAGAGCGTGTGGGGAAGTGTGAGTTCCGTGTCCAGAGGCAAGAGCCCCATCCGCCGAATCCGGATGCGCGCTGTCCCTGAGGGCAGGCGCCCCCGGGGTCTGGCTTCAGTCCCCAAATGGACAGAGGAGGGCTGCAGAAGCAGAAGACACGGGCGGGACTGCAGCGCCAGCACTGTCTTCCTTTGTGGCCTGCAGAGAAACTCGAAACCTGGGCCTGGTTTCTCGGGGTGGAGAGGTGTGCGGGCGCAGGGTCATGCTCCTTGGAGCCAGATGTGCTGTCGCTGGTCTTCGGGCCAGGGAGTGTTTGTCCTTCACGAGAGCCTTTTCATGCTCCTCAAAGGACAGAAAAGGGAGGACGACCGGTGTAGGGCACTGTGTACCCGAAGGTACCAGGCAGAGGCAGCAGGCTTGTGGGAGTGGACCAAGTGCCCTGAACGCTCTATGCCAGGCAGCGCCACGCGGGACTCACATACCTGAGCTTCCCCGCCACTGCTCCGGGGCCAACAGGGGCGGCTGTGTCTGGAGAGAGACTGGCAGCTTCCTGCGCAGCACGTCCAGGGCGTGGGGCCCCAGTGACCCCAGCTGGTCCCCCGTGCGTCAGCCTAGCACAGCGTCCTTGGAGGGTTGCCACCCGCAGCTGCCAGCTACACAAACTGAGGTCGCTTCCCTGCTGTTCCCACGGCCCGACCGCCATCCGGGCTGAGAATACGAGCGCCGCGCTGTGCTGGGCAGGAGAGCAGAAATGCGGCTCAGCACGGAGTCCTTCCGCGCAGACGGACTCCTCCCGCCAGTGGGTGATGAACGCCACGCCGCTGACTGCGCACATGTGAGCTTCTCTGATCCTCCAGAAAGAAATGCTCTGCATTTCTACACCTTCTATCTTGGAGTTTAGGTACAGGTCAATGTGGAAAGACTAGATTTTATCATTAATATTTACAAACATTGTTTCCTGACAGTAGAAAATAATAAAAAGACAAGCACAAGCAAAACACACATGGAACATTACAAATGGCTCACCTGTATATATACACTGATGCCTCATCTCAGTAGAAATCAAAGAAATGTATATCGAGACAGGTGCAAAGTTCTCTTCATGATAATGGCCATCATCAAAAAATGATCACACCAAAAGTTTGTGTATGGATAATTTACTTACTTGGGTGCTAAGAAAACACATAATATATCCACAGTGGAGGCCGAATGGAGCTCCCTGACTTTTGCTAAATGAATTTAGTCAGAGCACCTGTCGGCCAGGGCATCAGGCCCCAAGCCCTTCATCCCCAGGGCCTTCTCTTCCCTCAGCCCACGCACCCCTTCCAGTCCCTGGAGCATCCACCTCGTCCCGGTCCACCTGTCTCATCATCCCACGTTCTCATGCCGCCTACTTGAGATTGGCGGGTGTCCTTGGACTGCGCCTGACCCAGTGTCATCCGGCCGTCTCCTGGGGTGGGTACTCTTCCTGCACAGCCGAGAAATCTTCCCCATAACACATGGACGACAATGGCGCATCATCCGCCCACTTTGGGGGTACTGTTACACTTCTCCTGTGTGACTGGTGCAAATCAAGACATGTCTGGTAATAACAAATGCATCCTTGAGTCCCCTCTTTAGTTTGTACTTCTTAGGAACAATAGGTTATGAGTATCCTCACCTATATATTCTTCCAGCTGTTAATAAAAATGTCCTCGTTTGCACCAAAACAGACATCAAAGGCAATTGGGATCTTCAAGGATGACAGTGAAATTTAGGGTACAGAGGACAAAGAAATGCGTGTCTAGCAATTGGCTCCCACCAGTACCCCCAGATGAAGGACTTAACAGGGGACTGAGTGCTCAGAGAGGCAGATGAGCAATTAGTACACACATAGATTAACACCAAAAGTGATTGTGACAAGCTTAAGGTATCACTGCAGAATTCACAGTATGCCTTTTTAAGTGGCTCAGCACGAAGACTTTTGAAACTGCACCATTAGGACCATTATGGCCATCCTCAAATGAGCTCTGGTGCTTGTGTATGTGCGCTTGCTGCCCAAACAAAACCAGCAAGTTCTTCCTCAGATCTCAAAGTAACACCACTAAAAAGATCAGCAGCGGTTTTTATCTGCAACATTCACAGGTCCTCCAATGAAGTCAGGAAGGGACAGCACGTCCTCCCAAGTTTTCCAGAGTTTTCTTTCCAAGTGTGCCCCTGCTGTCTGGCTTTCAATTTCATTCCTCCTAAGAAATGATTTCCCCATCAGTAAAATGGATGTATTCACACCCACCACCACACCAGCTCTTAGAAATGAGCCAGAGAGGGTCTTTGTTAAATGGCTTGAATTTCCTTGTATAGAAAGGACTTAAAATCACAGGCACAAGCTCAAACAACCTGACGGGGAAACAGCTTCAGAGAAGAGGACACAAACCCCTTCCTTAGTCTCAGGAAAAGGTGCAAACATCTCTTTATTCGATGGCTTTTTGCATACATTGTCTTATCTACTCCTTGCTGCTTATAAGGGAAGTTATAATGACTTCGTTTATAAACAGTGCAGACTCAGACATGAGCCAATCTGCCCAAGGTCCCTGGCAACCTTGGCACTGTTAGAATTCACTTGGATGTCACTGGCCCCACCCTGGCCTCTCAAGCGCCTGGTGGACAGGCCCTCTCCCTGGGGTCGGAGCAGTGCTCCTGGCTGTGCTCTCTCCTGACGCCTGTGCCTGTGCCCTGGGGCCCTGAGGCTTCCAGTAGGCTTTTGAGCTAATCCTGCACCTCCCAGCCCCCTTGCCTGTCTCCTTCTCTAGGTTTACCAGGCGCGTTTCCCTGCCCGTCCTGAACGTCCTGACTCCCCTCCTCCTCGACGGTCGGCGCTATGAAGTTGTGCACCCCAAACCACAGCGTCTGCTGCTCCTCGCAGGATCTCATCAGGGACTCACAGATTAAACGACATTAATGTCCCTGATCTTGAGGTGTCGCCTCTGAGGGGCATACATTTCCCACAACTCTTCCTGTTTCTCCAGGCTTGAAGGGGCAGCAGCCCTCTCTAAATGGCTCCCAGGAAGGGGGTGCACCGTGCCTGCCCGGGGCTCAGGGACCGTGCACAGCTCAGCAAGGTGGCTCTGGGCCACGCCTGGGACTGCTGCTTCTCTCTCCCTCACTGTCTCTCCTGTCAGCTTACCACCCTCCCGTGTCTCACGTGACCTGCCGCAGCCTGCACGGGCCAGGTTCTTAGAAAGCTTTGCCTGGCCCACAGCCACTGCCAAGCACCCCCTTGTTTCCCTCGCCTTGTGTTCTGAGACAGTGACTTCCCAGCGTGCCTCCCTCACCTCAGGCCCTAGCCCTGGGCCAGTGACTGGTTTAGGGAGGGGACACTCCTGAGGAGGCCACCCTAAGTCCAGTTAGCTGCAGAGAGGAGTGGGTGCCAGTCCTGGGCCCCACCCACTCCCAGGATTCTGCTGTCTTCACCCAGGTCTCGGAGCAGCTCGCCTTCCCCTCTTTCCCAAAGCCCAGGGTAGATCAGATCTCGACTGCATCATGAACCCTGCCTAAACTCCTGCCCCTCTCGGTGAGGATGTGGGTGAAGGAAATGGCATCACGTTGTGAAATAAATGACAAAATCAGAGAACCTAACAAATGAAAGCGACTTCGGGGGTGAATGACAGGAGCATGTCAGGCTCAGCTACCAGAAGGAATTTCAGGCCCAAACCCTGGGTGCGAATTCAGTTTTCAGCTTGGCTCAGCCTGAGACCAGAGAAAGGGATTGGTCGCCCTTCAGTTGTATTCAGTTGGGAAAACGATGGAGGATACCAGCTAGCATCTCAACACGCGGAGCTATTTTAGCAACTAAACCTGATGAACTGTGTGTTCATCTGGTGCTATCCGAGGATTTGTTTAAAGAACCTGAACCGCAGCTGTCTCCGCCCCTGAAACTAGTGATCAACCCGTCAAGAGTGGAATAGGGAGGGCCAGAAATGGGTTACCCCAACCCAAAAGAACTCACCCTTTCCGACGTTCATTTGCAATTCCATTACTGACTCTCCAGCAGCAGGTGTGGTACCACTTTATGAGCAGACTTTTCACTTTATGGCGCTTTCCATCTGAAATATTAGAGAGCTGGGATTAGTGATTTCATAGACACAAGTGCTATCATTCATAAATCTTTTACGATTGAAGGCATTATCTTTAAATGTGTCCCACAAATCTTTCATGGGGCTGGAAGTTCATTCGTGTACTATATGGGGGGGTAGCTGGACAGAGCATACTTTATGAAGTTTTTGGACCATTAACTCTAGATTTTGATTTTTCTCCAAAACAAAATGATGCATTTGAATGTTTTGAGAATGGGATGGATTTTCTTGTGGTAGTCACCAAGGTGATGCAAGTCTCCCAGCAGACTTTTAAATACTTGAAACCAAAATATTTAGGGGTGTGCCAAGTGAGTCATGCCTTAATTTTTATTTCTATTCTATCTTTGGTGTGGTTGTGATTATAGCCTTGCTGAGATGGGTGATCAGTAATGAATGTGTCCAGCTGGCAGATTCCTCCAGGGCTCTGATTCAATCTTTTGAGTTATGAGATGAGGACAAAATGAACTATTTT